TGAACCTCTATTTTGGGCTATTTGAACTCCTGATTTAATTAAATATTAAATACATAACAACATTTAGGATAAAGGTTTAGGTGAGAAATAATGGGATAAAATAAATTTTGATTATATTTTTCTCTTTCAAATAAATTAAAACATAATTAAATAAACCATCAAAATAAATTTTGGATTCTATTTTTCTTTTTCAAATAAATTAAAATATAATTAAATAAATCATCAAAATAAATTTTGGATTCTATTTTTCCCTTTTAAATAAATTAAAACATAATTAAATAAATCATCAAAATAAATAAGTCTAATAGTTTTTAATGATTGTTTTAGGCATCGTTTTAGAACATGTTTTTTTAGTAAGTTTTTGACTTTTTGACTAAAATATGATGTAAAAAAAACTAGTATGTTTAGGCTGACTTTTTGACTTTTTACGAAAAGATGTGCAAAAAGTAGAGAAAAAAAGGAATTTTTGATTTTTTGGTATAGGTTGTTGGCTTTTTGGATTTTTTAATAATTTTTTGACTTTTTGATTAAAAAAATCACTTGGCAAACAAAGCCTAAGTTTAAATCACCTACTTAAATCACTACTGATTGTATTCTGCGTGTCATTTGGATATTTATTTTTTTAACGGCTTTTTAATTTTTAGACTGAAATATAAGGTAAAAAAAATAAAATATTTGAAAATGACTTTTTGAGACAAGACAGTTGGTCCAATGGTTCGTGTAGTTGTTCCTTGGGACAGTGAGAAAGTCAAAAGTTCAGAGTATGAGGGTGTGTTTGATTTGGTTTTGGGAGATAAATTTTCAAAAAAAAAAATTGGGAAAAGAGTTTAGAAATTTTTTTAGTTTGTTTAGTCATATATTTTGGAAATAGTTTTGAAGTATAAGAGTTTTGGATGATTTGATATTTTGTTGTAGTTGCGTAGATGTGTGTAAGAAAAAAAAAATGATTGAGAACGAAAGAGGAGAGAGAAAAAGTGACTGATTAATGTATAGGAGAGAGAAAATAATTTTGAAATTTGTTTTTCTAAAATCACTAAACCAAAAAAAATTTCTTCAAAATTTATTTCTTAAAAACAAACCAAACAAGGCCAGAATCTTTAGAGTGATTGCGGCCTTATGTTGTAATCTAACTTATTAACTCCAAACATCCTATCATATGGAAAAAATAAATAAATAAAATAATAATTTTTGATTTTTTTACAAAAAAATATAAAAAAAAAACATGTAAAATAAATAAAAAATGAGAAGAATTTGTTGACTTTTTTTAATGACATTTTGATTTTTTTTGGACTAATTTAATCAATTCCCAAACGTAACCTTACGAGCTTAAACAATCTATTTGAACCACTGTTAAAAGATTATTACAAGAATAATTATTACGGAGAATTCTAATCCAAATTAAAAGGATAAACGATTACATATTCTCAAAGACTTACCATTTTTTATTTTTTGAAATGTTCTCAGGGCTATATTTGCTTTAAGAATTTAGTAATCTTGTCATTTTGCGTGATTAGCAAACTAGTAATCTTGTCAAAAACACAACCTTTCTTGCTCTTGTCAAACACTGCCTTTGTTTGGTAATCTTGTCTCATTTTCTTCTACAAATCCCATCTCGAATCATTGATCCAAACGAAATTTTAATCCATAGTTTATTTTAGCTATGGGATTCGGATTAAAAATCCAATGACATTATTAATCTCAGAAAATGATATGATTAGCAATAACACACCTCCTATATTACTGGTAATCCCATGTAATAGTAAAATCACACCGCTCCATATGATGATCAAAAATAGTATTTTACACTTATTTCATACTATATCCTATCATAATTAACATAATACAAATAATCCCATTATATATATAATTTCATCCAATATCTTAAATATTAGTAAACTCATCCACAATCGCACCCACAATCACAAAAATCATATCAAACTCGATGTTAAATATAGAACGATGTGACTGAATGCAAACCTTTTTTAAAATTTTTAAGTATCGAATGCGATCTCAGTTATATCCACATCATTATGATAAAGAGCTTCTTAAGAACATAATTTCCCATGCACTTAAAGCAAAACTCATCGCTTTTTCCTATATTCTTCAAAAAATCTTTAAGTGCATAGAATCTGATTTTTAAATTAGACACAACTCTGTCATATGAGGTGAGACAACCCTTTCGCACAAGGTGAGATTGAGTTCCACCTCAAGTAAGAGAGTTATATTTGATTCTGTTATCAAATTCTATGTACGTTGAAGAACTGATATTCTTCTACCTGCACCGGTTTCGCCAAATTCCTTACAGAGGTGAAACTTGCTTGGTCCTTCCATTACATATATTTTCCATTAAAAAATCAATCAACTTTAACATTAATTTGAGCATCAATGCCTTTGACTCATGCAGTGATTGCCCAAGAATTTTCTAGCCTACATCTTAAAAAAGGAATGGTGGGAATGATTTTGAAGGAATGTCCATTTCCATTAAACAAAAGGAAAAGGTAAGTAAAAGAGAAAATGGGTTAAATCTATGGACAATCAATTCAAAGAAATGGAATATTTCTACTTTGACAAGGTCAATTATCATTCACTCTGACAAGCTGCTTCCAAGACATGAACGGTGTTTACGCGGGATACCTACAAAATTCCTCTGAATTATTCAAAATAACTCTGAATGGAATTTATTCGAGGGACTCTAATAACATATCTTCTGCATAATAAAGCACAATTATTTCTACCTTTTTCAGTTGCATGTTCAAAGCAAATTTTTTTTTTCCTTCTAGAATGAGATTGATTGATCTTCACTTTCGTACTTTCTATGATTTACAACCAGTTTTTCTATGGTCGACCAAATCAGAAAAAGTAAGACCTTAGGTCCCACTTTTCTGATTTTTCAAGAAATTGAGTCTCAATAAAATAAGAATTGAAGTCTCACTTTTGTTAATTTGATCGACCAATAGGACTAAAATTGACATAGTTATCATAGACCGCCAGAAGTGGACTCTTAAATGTTTCTTTCTCTGCCATGTTTCAAAGACTCAGATAAAGATTTTTTTTTCCATCTTCCAAGAAACCCAAGATTTGCAACTCAAATGGATAACATTCTCTACAAATAGTTCATCAATCAACCCAACTTCATAAATCAGAGCTTTGATTCACTGAAACAATTTAGTTGTAGTTGCCATAGATCATGATGAGGTCAATATAATCAGTCATGGGAAATTACCATTCAGTGGGAAATGGAGCAATTATTTACTGAAGAGTGAAAAATATTCTTGGAATGATAGTTTTGCTTTGTTTTCTTATACAAAAAAGAGTTGCAACCCCATATGTTTGTAATTATTTTTAGTCATGTGCTTTGATTTGTAATTTCGCAGTCATTCATTTGATCTAGATATTCATTTCTGCACTTTGTTAAACCATGTTTGGCATTTGAAATGACCCATATGATCTGTATGGTCATAGTTTCTTTGGATATTTTTCTTACAATTCACAAAAAGTAATGGGAATGCTAGAGATTTTATGATGTTTTTGTTATCTTCATGCAAAAAACAGGTAGTAATGCTGAGCATATTATAATTATAAAGTAAATGAGATTCTTTCGTACAAAGAACCTAAGTTACAAATGCAAGAACTAGTCATCAATTGTTTTGAAAAATTAGAAATTAGTTTAATAAAAATAAACACCAAAAAACATTTTTAATTTTTTTTAAAAATGTGTCACGAAATAAACAAACAAAAGAGAGAGAGAGAGAGAGAGAGAGTAACGTGAAATGTATGTTTTACTTTCTTAATTTTTTTTCCATCAAACCAATTATTGAAGAATTTTCAAAAACCAGATTCCAAAAACCCAACCAAACAAAGCTCATCAACATAATGTCTTACAAACTCTTGTATCAGCTACAACGGAGAGCACTCATCAAAGAATGAGAAAACCATATGCAAAACCTACATCTTTGTAACATCAAGAACCAGCTTCAGCTGCAAGCGTCAATCTGACACCGTCTCTGAATGGAATAGGAGAAAAGTCTAGTGTTTGCATCAGTTTAGTAATATCCATGGATATGTCAGCTGGGGACTTGACACCACGATCAACCTACATTTGTCAGGTAGCAACGAAGAACAACAGACGTGTCAATTTCCATTTCCCAGCATGCTTCTCAATTTCAATCATGCTTGCAAATTGAGAAGCACTGACACTTCTAAAAAGTTGGTGTATATTTATGTCAGACACTGACACTCATCTAACACTTCCTAACACATGTTGGATATTCATCTAAATGTGTCCTATTATTTTATTTTTTTTAAATAAGACCCAAACATGCTTCAAACACTTGGGGAATATGCATGTTCATAGCTTAGACACACATGAAATCAATTATAAATTTGAACAAAATATTTTACAATATTGCAAATTTAGAAAAATTTGTGTTATGTTGCATTCTTTTTTATTATCTTTGAATGATATATTCATACCTATGGCAATGACATATAAATATATAAAATAATATACTTCGTGCGTATGCCCCACAAGTCGTGTCCTGCATTTTTTTAAAATTGATATGTTGGCATGTCCGGATCGTGCCTGCATCATGTCGTGCATGTCCGTACTTTTTAGCTTGCAAATAGTATAAAATCACATTTTGCTCCTATGACATAAATATTAGAACCTAACGGATCAAAAAGAAGACATGAAAGATGAGAACAGCTGATTTTGAATAATCCCAATCGCCCATCACCATGAACCAGAGCCAGCTCATCATGATTAAGGTATTATGTGTAAGAAATATAGGACATATGTCGATGAATTTGTATATTGGGCAATAGGAAAGCAATGAAATTTGAAAGAATACATACTGATGATGCAGATACTGATTTGATCGATGAGGTATTGTATCCTCTAATATGTGCCACAGCCTCAGCCATCTGAACTCGGGATAGCCTGTCTGGTCCACCAACATTTAAAATCAATTGCATTTGCTTACCTTCTGCAACAAAGACCATTAAAACCAATAGGTTAGTTTAGATATGTAAACACTGAGAAAAGCCATAAAATGGAAATTTTTCAGAGTACAACAATAGGTAAGAAAATTTCCCTTAACCACAATATAATAAAACAAAGACAACTTCATTATTATACTATTGATCTCTCGAAGTAATATTTCATGATTACATTATGGCATATATCAAATTATATGTCACTTTGGTGGTAATGTAGAAGCAGAAAATCTGAGGTTGGGGCGAAAAATAATGCCAAAAACTAAAGCAGTCCATCCGGGGATACCTTTTCCTTTAAGTTGAAAATAAAATACAAAAAAAAAAAAAAATTAAAAAAACCCTAGACAACTCTTGTACATGAGACATCTAAATGTCGTACAACATTAACAATCCAATTGACGCATCCAGACATAAAAATGCAGAGGTTACGCACAAACGAGGCTTCGGTAATAGACATGTGTCCAGTTGGATCTGTATGATGAGGAAAACCAACTTTTGGAAGAACCTTTCTACCATATTTCCTTTTAATGTTACTTCTTAAATGTACAGTGTAAAATGAGTGAACGCCCACGCTGACATGTAACTCATATTTCAAAATTACATGACATAGCGATGTAGCATTAAGAAGAAGAAGAAGAGAAAAAGAAAGAAATCAGGGAATCACAATCCCAAATCAGTATCTCAATAATCAATATTCAAAATCACGTCATAGTGCAATCTTTCAAACCATTACATGAAGACAATATATATAAGCATAAGCACTATCTAATTAGGAAATCAAAAGAATAGGAAACTAACTAATAAATAAATAAAATCCTATTAAACCATAATTCCTAATTATACTAAAATTCCCATCATCCTTCAATTTATTGTCATCCAATGCCTTTCCAATCCCCATCACATCGTCTCTTGTTTTCTGCAGTTTATAGACTCGGATATTGTTCATTCAGCCAGAGTGCCCAAATTATGTAATAGAGTCCATTTCACTGTCAAAATCAAGTGTTATATTACAAAGAGAGAGAAATTGTCCTGAAGCTCAAAGAGTGTGTCTCACTTTTCACAAACTTTTCCATCAGTGGCCGCATGTCGGAATGAATATTTAGAATAAGAACAGGTAAAACCTTTTGTCAATTGTGGGTTTTTTTTTTGGTTGTTGTTGTTGCAAATTAACATTAATAGCAGAATCATTAAGTATAGGTATCAGAAATATCATACCTGAGATCCATTTGTTAGTCAGTGTTAGTATGACAGTTACGAGATCCTTGACATAGACAGGACAACGGAACTCATCGTGAAAGAAATCCACTGTATCTCCTTTGCAAAGGACACCATCCATCCACTACATCATTAATGCATTGATTATCAATAAACATGGCCAGCAGAATCCAATTTATAAAGATTGCACTCGGAAATAGCTTGAAAAGGGTATGTCATCCGATGCATATGCCATGACATTTTAGGATGGAGGCATTACCTTCCTTCACCAACCCACAAAAAAGGAAAAAGAAAAATGTGTGAGTTACACATTTCTTGCTCCATTTGCTTTTGTATTCAGTGGATTAGTTAGAAGACGATTACCAGCTATGAGTCCATAGCTAGACGTCCTAGATTGTCTTGCAGCAATTCAGTTCTTAGAGAAACATGACAATGACACATAATTTATAACCCAATTTCATTGGCAACAGCTAGAGAAGGAAAAACTAAAATGGTGCATGCTGACCAAGGAAAAACGACAAGTAAACCTGCCGAATAAGCAAGCCAGTTAATTCCATTCCAACATAAACAGCATTTAATGGTGTCCTAAACCCCAGCAACTCAATCTAAGGAATAGTGACACGACAAAGTAGATTTTAGAAAACTATTCTATAGAGGCAACCTTTTATTTAGAAAGTGTTATGTCAGCTTGATTTGATTGAACTACAAATCCAAAAAGAAGGCAAGAAAGAAGTCATAAATATCATGTATTCCAGTTTTTAACAGTGTTATGTGAATTAAATCTTAAGGGAGCCCAGTGTAATTATACAAAATTTGTGAGGCTTACTGTATTTTCTCCAAACCTCAAGGAAGGTCAGTGTAATTTACACTTCAATTTTTTAACTGCATTATTTCATTTTAAATTATTTTTTGCAAGCATTTCCTGAGGTAGAACAAACCACAAACACAAAGTGCAAAACAAGATTTATTAGCTGATGAAGTTGCACAAAATACAACACAAGGACTGCTGTTGTGCGTATGTACCTGAATTGGTAGGGACTTTGGAACAGGGGAGATAGTCTGTGGCCCGATGATTATACTGCTTCTCAAGATAGCAAAGTTTAAGCAGTTCGTTGAAATGAACTGCTCTGCTGCCATTTTAGATTTTCCATAAACATTCACAGGAACAGTTTCATCCTCTTCCTTGTAGAACGACTTCACTCCTTCATAAACTGCAAGCGAATTACATCAGTCTCAATCTAGCCACAAGAAGAAATACAACATCAAATAAAATAAAATAAAAAATTAACAGTTCAAGTAGAGAAACAAGATCTTGATGTGATCAATCCAGCTGAATACCAAAAGAGGGATAAAATGAGTAATGATCTTATCAAAAATAGAAATACGTAATGAATGTACCCCAAAACAGTTTCACAGTTTTAAACCAAAAACATTCAATCAATCTAGCGGTTAACTATAAGAACTAGAAAATGCTTGAGATTTGAAGGTCCAAAAAAAAGAAAGAAATAAAGAAAAGACGGATAATTTTATAAAGCAATTGTCTAGAAAACAAGGATGACATTTTAATTACTTGTGATGCCCTTAGGTAGATTTTATGGTGAAACAAACACACACACACACAAAAAGAAGGAATCATGTAGCCAAGCAAAAGTGGTATGGAATCTCAACATAGCTTACTTGAGTTGAGCATAGGTGAGTATAGATATTTCCTCAATTACAACTTATGAGGTTTAACCATATTACCAAAAATGGGTAAATTCGTCCTACAGTAGATATTTTTTTCTGGTTAACTAAATTATGAAATGCTGTGATAAATCAAAGTCAATCAATCTTTCAATAAACTTGAATCAAATCAACCTTATCCCAAATTACTCTAAGTCTAAACAGCCAAATCTGCAAAAAGCAAATCTCTTAACTCTGCATTTATGCAGCATAGACAGATTATAAGATAACATGTTCAGCATGCTCTACCTTGATCAGTTGATAGATGAATCAGAAGAGTAATGTTCTCTTTGAAGGTTGATAACCATTTTATAAGAGCAGAAGGCACATTAATAGACATGGCTGCTGTAGGATCCATTTCGCAGGCACGAGGAACGGAGAGTGCAGCGCAATTGACCACCACATGAGGCTGGTAATCAGAATTGATAGGCATCAGCACTTATAACATAGTAAATAAATTCCTCAACACTATGTTTGGATCATGGATTGGATAGGGATTTAGAAAGTGAAAGGGAAATAGATAAAAATTTAGCTTATATTTTATTTACATTGTCCTCACCATTTTCCTTTCCCTCTCCAAATCTCTCACTAAATCCATGATCCAAACATAGCCTACATATGATAAATTGAGAATGTCATGCATGCAAGCCTAATTCTAAGATTTTGAAATTTGCCTTATGTAATAACAACTTCATGCCATGTTTGGTTCATTGGAAGGAGCTGGAATGGAATGATCAATCCATCAAAACCTCCATTCTTACGTTTGGTTCATTAAAAACTTCATAAAAAATGCATGCAAAAAGAATCATCATTCATCATTTTAAGGGAATGCTCATTCCATTAGGAGGCTAAAGAATGACCACTAGATTCCAATCAACTTTCATTCCAATTAATCAAACACTACCTTTGTATTTCTTAAAAAAAATTGAATGCATAGAGAAATTACAATTGACTGAATCTCAAGATCCCTGTTTTTAATTGAAAGAAGGAAAACTTCTCTTGTACATTGATTCAAACATCCAAGTGCCAAACTATAGTCTTCCTTGTTATAAACAATTAAGAAAAATAAGTCAAGCCTATCAAACCAAATTGAAAACTACTAATAGTACAAATTACAATCAGTTTCAGATCAAACTGTAGTTAGGTTATATAAGCTACTTCATTAAAGATGGAAACAAAATGTTTCTTTTTTTAACTCCTGAGACCTGCCAGCAACAGACTAGGGGCAAAGTGGACAGAAAAAAAAGACAACCATTAAGAGCTCAATATGTAATATATAGGCAATTTCACTAATTCATAGGAAAAAAGGTTGTGTTTGGATATTGAATTTGAAAAGGGATTTGTGAAGGGAAAGGAAAAGGGGGGAAAAAATAGCATAAGGCTCCATAAATCCAAGATCCAAACACACCCTAAGGCAATCTTTGGCCTCCCATGAGAATTGAACTTTAGATTCCATGTCATATGGCGTTTGAACACACAAGTCATTAATGTTTCATAGAGAAACCTCCAGAATCACCAAAACAAGATGGACGTTATGTCATTTGCTAGGATCCCAGAATGCACTGGTCTTAAACAATCTTCACAATGTCTAAAAAAGCGCACAAAAAAAACCCAACAAGTTCACATCAAAATAGAACTATACAAGCATCCAAACCAAACCAAACCAAGCCTTAAGTCCCATCAAATGGGGTCGGCTATATGAATCTTTCTTCTCCACACGGCCCTATCAAAGGCCATTTTGTTAGTCAAATTAAGTAAATCCATATCTCTATTCACAACACTAGCTAACGTTAATCTAGGCCTACCCCGTCCCTTAATACTTCTACCTTCTATTACAGCATCGCATCTCTTCACTACAGCCTCTATTGGTCTCTGTTGAATATGGCAAAACCATCTCAATCGATTTTCTCTCAACTTATCTTCTATCGGTGCTACTCCTATCTATTCTCGAATACACTTATTTCTAATTCTGTCCTGTCTTATCTAGTCTTGTCACACATCCACCTTAGCATCCTCATCTCAACCACTCATCTTATCTACATATTGTTTCTTGGTTGCCCAACACTCCGTCCTATACAATATCGCCGGTCTAATAGCTGTTCTATAAAACTTACCTTTTAGTTTAGTGAGTATTCGTTTATCGCATAGTATCCCAGATGCACTTCTCCACTCACACTATCCCGCCTTAATCCTATGAGTCACATCCGAATCAATCTCCCCCGTTGTTGTGATAATTGACCCTAAATAACAAAAATGTTCGCTCTTAAGCAGTTCTTGATTCTCAATCTTCACGTCTTCTCTACTTTCATTGTTACTGTTACTAAATTTACACTCCATATAATTTGTCTTAATTCAACTTATCCGGAATCCTTTAGATTCAAGAAATTTTCTCCAAATTTTCAACTTTGTGTTAACTCTTTCGCTAGTCTCATCCACTAGCACAATATCGTCTGCAAAAAGCATACATCATGACATGTTATCCTGAATATTTCTCGTCAACTCATCCATAACTAAAGCAAAAAGATAAGGACTTAAGGTAGATCCTTGGTGTAACCCTATAGTGATAGGAAATTCATTTGTCTCTCCAGTAGGCGATCTAATAATGGTCACCACCCCTTCATACATGTCCCTAATCACATCAGTGTAACATTTTGTCATCCCTTTCTTCTCTACATCCACCATATTATATCCCAAGCCACTCTATCATATGCTTTCTCAAGGTCGATAAACACCGTATGCAAATAAAATTTTCTTAGAAAATTTGAAACCTTGATCAGAAAATTGTCAATAATTCATACCCAGTATTCAGAAACAAAAATGAAACCAAAATAACAAACATCTAAAACATACCCATTGCACAATATCCAAAACAACATGTAAAGCTTTAAAATGCAAAATAGAACTATACAATAAAGTAAGTATGTGAAGCTTCAATTTTCTTAGAAATTCAAAACCCTGGTGAGAAAATTGTCAATTACACATACCCAGTATTCAGAAACGACAACCAAATCAAAATATCAAACATCTAAAACAAACCCATTACCCAATATCCAAAAGTAGAACTATAAAACTAACTACGTGAAGGTTCAATTTTCTTAGAAAATTCAAAACCCAAATTACGAAATCAAAAGAACAAAATCTAAAGCATACCCATTACCCAATATCCAAAACAAAAACATCTAAATGTTCTAAAAAATTCAACAATGAATTGTAAACATATCGATAATTTGGGTTCGCTGTTTGAAATCAGACCTGTCCAAATGCTTGTGAGATGGCTTCGAATCCATTTCCTGTCCGTAAATCGACATGGAAAGCAAGAACATTGGGAATGGCTTCGAGCAGCGGAGAAGGCGGAGGACTGGAATGGTGGGTGAAAGCTACATCGTAACAAAAAGGGGATGTTGTTTGTGCTCTTGCTTGGGTCTCTGAAAGGCCTTGCAATAGATGCTGGCCTAAGTAACCTGTGCCTCCAACCACTAGCACTTTCTTCTTGCTCATTTCTCTCTCTCTGTCTCTCACTCTCACTCTCACTCTCTCCCTTACATGTTATAAGAACCTGATTACAATGTTATAAGAGCCTGTTTGAAGAAAAAAATGTGAAAGAACCTGTTTGAAGAAAGTGTTATAAGACTCATATTAAATTGCATCAGGGCATAAATAAGGAATTGTTTGTTGATCTCTTAGCCACAGA